CAACGTAGTCGAATCCTATATAAAAAAAAAATGTTTAAACAATACCTTCTCTTTCTTAACCGGATGATTTCGTGTTCTGCGTCGTTTATTTGTTCAATTGATTCGACGTTGTCGTCACAGCTATTTGGAATCACTGTATTACTTGTTTCATATATTAATCTTTTGCGTTTATTTGGTAGTTCATCTCCATCTCTGGAGCTTCTGTCAAAATGTTCATCACAATAATCATTCTCTTCTTGAATTTCTTGCAAAGAATTACTATAGGGTTTATCCCTAAAATCGGTGTGGTCTGAAAAATCATCCACGCGTATATCATTATTTTTTTGTATTATTGAAGTGTTATTCGTAAACCCGTTTTCGTCCACTTCAATAGGACGATCGAAGTCGCTAGTGTCATTAGGATTTTCTTCATCTAATTCAATAGGATGACCAAAATCATTTATGTCGTTAGGGTATTCTTTATCTAATTCGACTGGATGATCGAAATCATTTGTGTCATTAGGATACTTTTCGTTTGGTTCAATAAAGCATTCATCGTCATTCCCGTCGATAGAGTCCTCATCATTATCATTTTGTTTGTCTTTATCAAACCACCTTCTAATAAATACCCTTTTAAAATTTGGCACTGTTTTATCTGTAGTTTTATCTGTATTGTCAAATGTCTGCAGTGTGGTAATCCTTTTCTTTACTAAGTTACCCGTATTTCGACGAATAGAAGAGCGCATAACACTACCGGTTGAATGATTATGCAACCTAATATATTTTTCCCAGGTGGGTGCAGACTTTGGATTAGATGAGCTATGCCATCGTTCTTTATCCAATCGTGCAGCACAAGCTCGAAGAAGTACTGTAGCACCGGGAATTGGCTCAGGTGGAGGAATTGGCTTTAAAGGTCTTGGAAGTGGAGATATGTATAATGACTTTGGTACATTGGCCTCAACTTCTTCGTATGTTGGTACGGTAATGACGGTGGGTTTACGGCTAGTTTGGCTAAGGATATCAAAAGATTTGCACCTATTTTTTGGATCTAAAAGATGTAACGATCACCATAAAAATTCTACTTGAGAAGCGAAAATCAGGAAATACCTGTTGTGGTACGTGAAGACTTTGATAACTTCATTAAGTTACAAAGAAAGAATTTGTTATATCGATATCAAATACGTATATCGCGGGATGTTGAATGAACTTACCTGATTGATCTCAGTCATGTGGGCAATTGAAGTTACTAACTACCCCAACAACACCCCGAGAATTCTGCGATAATAAAACTCTTAAAAAGTTGTTAATACTGGGGTTAGCGATTA